AGCCAATAGTGTCAAAATTACTACTCTGGGACAAAGAAATTTGAGGGATGCTTCTAAAACTGAATGTATTTCACGGTTTCATTTCCACCGCCAGGGCTCAATACAAACCCACACACCCAGAGGGAGGGAGGCCTGATGAGAGTGTGGAGAGCTGCAGGCCTACGCGTGTGGGAGGGCACTCGGGACAGTGCTGTGACAGTGACAGCGTGTCCGGGAACCCACGGGACACGACACTCCACACCTAGGTCCATGTGGAGACTGCCAACAAACAAACACCCAGTGCTCTGCATAGCAAACACAGGGACTCGGATCCCCACAGTGACGTTCTCACAAGAGGAAGATGGGGTGACACAGCCACACTGCAGCGTGGATAGGCACGATACACTCAAGGCCACCATGCTTCCAAGGGAAACAAAGTACCCTTCTGTGGGACACCTCACATGAGCCCCAAAATACCACAAGAAGCGACAACAGCCAGGACCAAGCATGTCGGATCCTGGCCATGTCCAGAGTGGGCACAGAAAGTACACAGGGTGCGAGGCCGGGCTCTGGGGAGCAGGGAATGACCTCAGATTCAGGCAGGGTTTCTGTTCCGGAGTCAACAGAGTCCCGGAATTAGTGGGAACAGCTGTGCAGCTTCGAGAATATGTGAGAAAAAACACCAAAACATACATTTAAAAATGAGGAATTCTGTGGTGTGTGAACAGAATTCTGTTCACAAACCAAATTTTCTTAAATGCACTGGAACAATTTCCCCACCAAAGCAATCTATTTCCATTACATCAGAGTTCAAAAACTATCAAAAAACTTCCATCAAGCCGACTGTGGTGGTGCATGCCTATAATCCCAGTAGCCAGGAGGCAGAGGCAGGAGGATTGCTAGGAGTTCAAGACTAACCTGAGCTACACAGGGATTTCTAAAACAGCCTGAATTACACAAGGGATCCTGTCTCAAAAAGCCAAAAAAAAAACAAAAACAAAAAAAAAAATCCAACAATGTAATTAAAAAACAACAACAAAAATGGTGGAAGTGATTTACAATGAATATAAAAACACAATGACAGATAGTGTATTCGTCACCCAAATAGCTTATTAAAACAGACAGCAGACAGAAAAATATCAATAGAAAAAACAGGAAAAGGCCATGTAATGACAGTCACAGAAGAAATACGAATGACAGTGAAAAACAGGCCGCTCACCACCAACAGGAAATGCTCCTCATGCTGAGATGCTGTGCTCTGCCCATCGGTGTAACAAAAACATCTCAAAACCTCCTGGCTCCCCTTCCCCGGCCAGGGTGCTTGGCACACGAGGTTCTGGGAAGCACTAGGGTTAGAGGGGTGAACCACCACTCTCAGCTTCTTTTTTTATGGTTTTGTTTTTTTGGTACCAGGGATCAAACTCAGGACCTCACGCTTTCCAGGCAGATGCTTATGTCACTGCGCTAAATCCCCAACCCAGGCTTCTTTTTTTAAAGTGGGAAGAAATTTTCAGCAGAGGCTAAAAGCACAGGGAGGAGACTAAGATGTGAAAAACAGAGCAGCTGGGTGCGGTGGTGCACACTGTATTCCCAGCACTCGGGAGGCTGAGGCAGGAAGATTGTTACAAACTTGAAACCAGCCTGGGATACAAAGTGAGCTCAAGTCCTGCCTGAACTGCATTGTGAGACTGTCTCAAAAAGACCAAAAAGAAAAAATAATAGCAAAGATACCAAAGAGAAGGAACACCTAAGGGAGCAAAGAGTCAGAGCAGAGACCTCATTAAGCCCAGAAGGATCTGGCCCTTGCTGCTGCACAGCTGGCAGAGCGGCGGGCTTCAGAGTCAGGGCCCCAAGCAGCTGAGGACTCCACCCACAGGAGACCTCCTCCTCCTCAGGTGCTAGCTCCACCCTGTGCCTCACTGCCTAGCTTGGCTTCGAGGGGAAGACCCAGCTCTGCTCCATCCCATCCCGAGGTCCTGACAAGGTGCTCAGCAGGAACCCGCAGCTCCACCAGGGAAATGGCCCAGCTTCAGGATTCAAGGTGGTGATGGGGAGTAACGCCGGCTACAAGAACACATGATGCAGCCTGGGGATGGTTCGAGCTGTGGTGGCACAAAGGGCTGTTTGTTATCATTCTAAAAGGTCCTAAAAGATTTGCCACCACTGGCTTAGGCTATGACACCACTGCCCACTTCTGGTTTTCTGGTTGTGGGGTTTCATTGTGACACAGAGCATCCTCGTGTGCTCATCACATCCGGACTGGCGGGACAAGGTAAGCGCTGGGCCAGGGCTCTCAGAAGGGCAGCCTGGGGCCACTACCTCCACCCCCTGAGGAAACCCAGACACGCACAGAGGGGTGAGAGAACCCAGGTGCAGCTCTGAGCAGAGTTTTGGCTGGAGGAGCTGGAAAGTCACGAGAGACAGCAGGCCAGAGCCGGCCTTGGATGCACGAGCCCCGGGGTGTATGGAGATGCCAGGACATAGCGACAGGGTTCCACAGGATCTCCCTTCTCCCCAGCCCACCCAGACCTTGACCTCAGCAGGAACCAGAGCCCGGCTCTCTCTCCACGGCGCCCTCCTTGCTAGGGGTCCCAGATGGGCATCCTTCCTACATTCAGCCCTCTTCTCCCTCACACTCAGCTTCAGCCACACTCTTCCAATCCCCACAGAAACCCTTCTTGGTCACAGCCACCCCAGCCACAAAGGCTCTTGTCCAACATTTCTCCTCCCCATGGGTGGCACCCATCACACTGGGGCAAGAGCTGCCTGAATACCACCATGTCCAGTGTCCTCTGCCAGTGACCTCCACCCCTGCAGCCCCCTCTTCCTCTCGTCCCATCCAGGTCCTGGGAGTGTCTGGCTTCAGCCAGGACAGAAGAGCCTGGGAGGCGGACACCTAGGCCCTCTTCCACACAGAGTCCACATCCTGCCGTGGGGGCCTCTGCACCCATCAGAGCTGCCAGCAGCTGAGCGCCGATGCAAAAATGTGTTTCTCCGGGCCAGATCTAACAGAGCAATGTCCAAGCAGACACTGTAGAGAAAGCACCAAGCCCTGGAGGAAACGGTGGCAGGGAGGCCCTGCTCCAGGAAGCAAAGGCCAGCAAAACAAGGTGACTTTCGAGGCATGCCCAGTTGCTATGGAAACAACATCCCCAAAGCAGAAGGGACCGAGGTGCAGGAGGGCTCTGGGTGCGAGCTGAACAGCCATTCCTTCATTGGACACTCAGACATTTTAGAAAGTCAATAAAACCGCAACCACCGAGTATTTAAAAGGCTCCTGTTAAAATGACAGCAGCACCCAATGAGTGCCACTTGGCTGTCCTGTAGGGTGACATGTCCAGCCCACCAGCCCCTTGAATCAATCGAGCTGTGGGAACACAAAGTCAAGCGAAAACAGCTGGCGGTTTCTCCCTAGCACAGCACCCTCTGCTTTCTGGCTTTGTTTACATATGAACAAAGTCAGGGTGAGTCCCAGACCCCAGTCACCACTGCCCCTGATGCAGAAAGCAAAACTTTCAGAAGCACTTTGGTGCCAATAAAAAAAAAAAAACTGATATTAGAAGCCAAGTAGAAAGCAGTCTGATTAGAGGAGCCCCAAGAAGCCATCCCCACCCTGAGTCACAGGAAAAACAGAGGCCCTGGATCAAAAAGTCAAGGCATCAAAAACACAGATCAAGCAGCCACAAACTCTTCAGATCCTGAGAAGCAGAGCTGTCACTGGGCTGCTGTCTGAAACTCTGCCCAGCTTCCAAGTCCAACACAGCTGCACACGCACGTCCAAGCCACCTGTCCCTGAGCACCACGCAGGCTCCAGTGACCCGGGATGGAGAGTGGCCTTCAGCTTGAGCGCCAGCCACCTCCAAAGTCCATGCTCAAGACACCTGCCCGGCCACTACCAAGCCATCGGGCCATGGATGCACCTGCTCCTCTGGAAACAAGGCTAGGTGGGGAGCACGGCTTCAACTCCACACTTCACCTTCTCCCCAGGGAGCAAGCGGGCAGGCTCTGCAGAGGACCCAGCCGTCCTGCCAGCCTAGCTTCCTGCCCCGGACTGGAAGTCACTCTGCATCTGGCCTGCTGCATGGCCGGCCCAGGCAGTGGCACCTGCACCCAGGGGACAGGGCCTCCATGTACCAGCCCTGGGCAGTTCCGGGGCACGCTCAGGAGAAGAGCAAACAAAAGGGACTGAAGCACTTTGCAAGGGTGTCTCACACTCAACTCCAAGCTCAGGCGAACTCACTTTAGTCTTTGAACAGAAGAGGAACAGAAACGGAAGAATAAGACTTAAGAGGGGGAAGGGGACAGAGAGGAGCAACGCACAGCACTGGTCAAAAGTTCTGGGTTCGATTCCAGCTCAGCAGCTTAGCCACAGCGTGTTAGGTGGTGGCCAGGCTGCACAATTGGCTTAAATTACTATCTTCTCTTCTGCAAAATGGGTCTTGTGATGCCTCACGGGGTAGCTGTGCTGCAGAGTGAAGAAAAGGAAGAGACAAGTGTGTAAAGCTCATCGTTCTGCCTGTCACACTGAGGAGCCTCGGGAGGGGGGAAGGGAAAGAGACTGCAGGAGAAAAAGGCAGAAAGGTTCACTTGGAAAACAGTCTGAATGCGCTGGGAACAAATTCATCCTCTGCTCAGCAACCCAGAAGCATTTCCTGATCCCCCAGGGCACAATCAGCAATGCGCTCTATTAGAAAATGAATTAGCCATGCATAGCAGTGCAGGCTTGTCATCCCAGCACCTGGGAGGCTGAGGCAGAATGGCAGAAGGTTCGAGGCCAGCCAGGCTACACAGTGAGCCCTTGTCCTGAAAAGAACCACTCGGCAGGCACGTGGTGCAGAGTGAAGAGCCCACGTGTGTGCTGTCACCTCCGTCCTGGGCGCCTTGGGCTGGAGCCTTCACTGTGCTCAGCCCGCTCAGCCCATCACCGGGAACTGGACCGGGATCCGAGTTCCGCCAAAGCCCTGGCCCCCTGGAGGACCCCGCCCCTGGAGGACTCCAGGACGCCCCAGGGCCCTGCCCACCTGGCCTGGTGGATCGCCTCCATCCACTCCTTCCCGTCCTGCTCCTCTTCGCAGCGCAGCTCCAGGGGCTTCTGGCCCTCGTGGCCGAAGAGGACGGTGAAGTAGTACTGGGAAGAGAGACAAACAGGGGTCAGCGCCTGCCTCGCTCCTCCCCGCCAGGGACAAGGAGCCCACGCGTCCTCGGCCAGGTTCACTGCATGGCCGTGTCCCCACAGCCTGCGAAGAGGTGGCCACAGCCCCGGCTGCCAGATATTCTCAGGAAAGGACAGAGGGGCTGTTGCTCCGACATCCTATTGCGCAGGGAGCTGTCCTGCTGAAGGCTGAGCAGCAGCCTGGTCCTGCGTGCCAGCCCAGATGCAGCACACCTGCTATTGCCCATCGGCTGCCAGCCGGCTCGCACGTTGCTTGCACCTCTTTCCCTGAGAGACCAGGCAGCCTCGCAATCCTGCCCGAGATGGTACTTCAGAGGACCACTAAACAGACTACAGGAGACACAGACCAAGTCCTGACTGCCTGGACTGAGACAGGCACGGTTTCTTTCTGGTAAACACATCCTCTGCATTACTTATGGAGGGGGGGGGGCAGGTGTCCTGCTTAATAGGAAGAGGCTGAGATTCCCCCGCAGTGAAATGACTGCTCTCATATGAGCCTTACGTGTCATTACCACAAACTGGAAACAACCTAAATGCCCTTTAATGGGTGAGAGGGTAAACAGATGCCGGTATATCCATATGATAGAATACTACTCAGCCATGAACAGGAACAAACCCTTTACAAGTCCAGCAATGTTGAAAGGGTGACACAGCAGAGATCTGTGGTTTCCCGGGGTTAGGGGAGAGGGTGGAGAGGAGGGGAGCAGGGTGCAGGGAGACAGTGAGAGGGATGTGCTTAGCTTGGGGGGCCAATATTGGACACTGTTCCTCCCCCCTGGGGCTGAAAGGGTGACGCCTGGAGACCCCCCCTGGGGAGCAAGGGTGGGAGGTTGTGTGCAGGGAACATGACAGCAGAGGCCCCACCCCGGGAAGAGGGCAGTAAGGACCGAAGGGGGCCCTGCTTCCCAAGTAGGTCCTGCCTCAGGAAGAACCTAAAAGGCCAATGTCTGGGCACTGCCTGCCGGGAGGCTGAACACTGTGTTTGAGGGTAACACAACCGCCAAGGCTGGACTGGGAGCAACAGTTTTTCTGATCCCCAGCTGACCACATCTGAGCCAGCCAGGCTGGGCTTGACTTCAAGCTGCCTGAAAGGGCAGGAGCAAGGGCCCCTCTGAAGAGCCAAGAGGCACAGCAGGAATCTTCAGGAGTCCTACCTAGCATCAAGGGCCTAGGAGGGAACTGTAAGGTCCAAGCCTCCTGAAGCTGAGCTTCTACCCCTGACCACAGGCAAGGAAATGGCCCAGTGGGGCAGCTTGGGAAGCAAGGTAGTGAGGAGGCATGTGGGAGGGCTGAAGATGGTGGACCAGCTTTCACACAGGGAGTCTGAGGCCACCGGGATTAGAGACCCGACTGAGACTGGGAGGAACAGGTGACGCTGGAGTCACTGGGAGACATGGTGCCTGTCCATAGCACTCTGAAAGTCAGACTGCAAACAAAATGGCCCTCAGCTGACCCCTACCCAACAGGCCTGCTCACAGTGTCAGCTATGTGCTGACATAGCTAACATAGCTTTCCCCAGTGGTCCCCCCCTGTCATCCCAGCACTCTGGGAGGCTGAGGCAGGAGGATCATAAGTTTGACCCCAGCCTGGGAAACTTAGCAAGATCCCACTTTAAACTAAAAACATAAGGGCTGGGAATGCAGTTCAGTGCAAAGGCCCTGAGTTCAAGCCCCAACACTTCACAGAAAACAAAATGAGACCCACTTCAGGTCAGTAACTGTATTAATCTCTATTGGAGATTGAATTTTCAGGGATTGCCACCTCGGTCTACAAAGCCCCATCCAGGCCGAGGCTGAGCAGTACCCAGATGTCTAGGCTGAAGGGAAGGTGATGCCAGCATCTCAGCCCTGTGTTCCTCCAAAGATTCTGGGGATCTCAGCTTCTGGGTGCCTGGTGGGCACAGACAGACCTGGCTGAAGGCCACAGTGGTGCTGCCCAGATCCAGTTACACACAGGAGTCCTGGCCCACACCAAGAAAGGGAGAATCTGGTGCCAATGTTGGTCTAATGCGTGGGCTCCTCCTGGCTCTCCTCTATCAAGTCCACCTGCGTCAGTCACCCAAGAAGAACCCGAGGTGACTAACTTTTGCCTCCTCGTGATGGCAGAAACATTGCTGGTTTCCCCAGCACCCCACTGAGGATTCCGTGGGGGACCAGCTGCCCCACCCCCTCAGTGGGCTGACACACAACGGACCATCAGACACATGGGCAGTGATCCAAGCTTAAAATGTGTACAAGAGTGAAGGACACATTGCCAGGAATCCCCTCAAAATACTCGCCTCCATCCGAGCACACCCATCCCATCATGCTGGCCACTTCCTACAGCAGCTCCGGAGTCCTCTTTCCTGAGGGTTTTTAGCTGCGCTGCCCTGGCTGCTCTGCATCCTGAAATTCACTCAGAATGATTCCCCTTTGTGTTCATTCTGCCTCTGGGGAGGAGCTAGAAGCCACCTGGTGCCACAGCCAGTGAAGAGGAGGACGAGGACCCAGCAGTGCCTCTTTATGAGCTGTCCTTCTGCTGGGTGGTGCGTGGCAGTGGCAGTGGCATTCACTGAGTTTTTGATCATACTGGCAGGTCTCACCCACCTTCCCTCCCAGGCCATGGAGCTGCCCATGTGCGGCCTTTCTTCCTGCCAGGATCGCTGTGTGGGGCCTGCACGCAGCCTGTGCCAGCCACGCAGAGCCCCTGACTGTGCTAGGGAGTGGAGGGCACCACCCCACTGAACCTGCTCCCCAGTGGTTTCTTTATAGCGTAGTCACACTGGCTCTAAAAAATGACAAGTAAACTGCTTTAAGCAAAACAAATACACTTAAGCTGTCAAACATGTTTTATCTTAGACTGAGAAAAAATCACTGTCACCTCCTGAGCCCTCAGGAGAAACAGAGAGTGCACGGTGGGCAGGCGGCTCTGGCAAAGGCCTCTCCTCCAGGTTCACACCCTGTTCTCTTGGGCAGGAGCAGATACGGCTGTACCAGAACATGGACAGCTGGGCAAGCGTGACCTGTTCTCAGCCGCACCTTGAGCTGCTGGAGTGGGCTATGCTGTGTCAGTGGACCAAAAAAATGCATTTGCACTTCAGGAAAAGAAAAATAGGATGATTTTTTTTCAACGAAGTGTGTTACCCTCGAGGACAACCTTTGTCGCAGAAAACCACACTGCCAGTCCTTAGAGAAGACCTTGAAGGCACGTGGGCAGCAATCTCAGTGTCCATGGCACCCACACAGCAGTCCACCTGACTATAAACATCCTGGCTGATGGCCACCACTCTGAGCACCTCTTGTAATTGTAGAGGCCAAAGCTGACCTGTGTGAATCTCCTGGTGCCTCAGTAAGTTTAGTACTAAATATTTATCCAAGCTTTCCTTTTCCTAAAGTACGTATGCTTTTGGTTGTACCTTAGACAAATAGTGAAATGCTCTTCCACCTTAAAAGAGGAGATACTGGAGCCAATGGGGTCATGCACCCCAGGAGGAGAACCAAGAAGAAGCCAACCCCTTCCCGTGAGCCAGCCAGTGTGTGGACCGGGAGACAAGAAGGACCAACCCCTGTGACCCCCCAACTCACACTGTGAGCAGCTGGCTGATTTCGAGAAACACGGGCTGAGATGACAGCCATGAAAATTAAAAAAAAAAAAAAAAAACTCACTGCCTGTACTGTTTGGTTGACTGTGTGGCCTAAAGCCAGTGGTCTGAGTATCTATGTAGAGGATGACAATATGCAATACAGCCACTATGGGGAATTTCCTTCTGAAGGTGGTGCCATTGTTAATTCCCTACTACCTTGTTTTAAAGTCCTGCATCATCTTCATTGCTTTGTTTCATTTGATTTTATTATATCTAATGCATGGGAAACTATTTCAAAGATAACAAGAGGAATTATGGTAGCCATTGTTGGTTTCTAGTACCTTGTTTTGAAGTACTATATTGCTTTCACTGTTTGGTTTTGATTGGCTTCATTATGCTTTATTTTGTTTGGTTTGATTTTGTTTAAAATAAAAAAGAAGAGGTCTTGCCCCATAAGGAAGCCTGAGGGAACATGACAGAGAGTGAAATAAGCCACGCAGAAAGACAAATACCACAGGACCTCACGCATATGCACCACACATGGGTGGCTACAGGCACAGAAGAGCTGGTAGGAGAAGAGGAGGTGCTGAACCCCTCAGCCTGCCAGGAGAAGTGAGCCCCAGTGCTCACTGAGCAGGAGGGCAGCTGCAATACGTCAAAAGGCACTGCCCACTTTTAAATGGCCGGAAGAGCATATTTTAAATATTTTCACCACACACAAAAGAAATGAGAAATCTGTGAGATGACGGATTGGATAATTAGCCTGACTTAATTATCCCGTCTCATAAACATGCATCAAAGCATCACACTGTACCCCATAAACATCCACCGCCACTGTCATCTGTCAATAACGATGCATAGTCTTAAAGTTCTCACGTCTTACCTATAAGGACCTACTGCCAGGAAGAGAAACTAAGAGATGCAGGAAACGCAAGCTTCAGGACCTCATCAGTATCCACTGCCCCTCGCCTGCAGGTCCCTGGCCTTCCCTGGAGCGAGGCGGCTGCTGGTGTGCAGTGTGTCCTTCAATGCAAGGACACAGCTCACTGGGCTCTGCAAATCAGAGATGGACTCCTGGCCAACAGAGGCTGCCTCGGGAGCAGGGTGCCACCAAACACCTCCTGTTTCTACACGGTCATGTGGAATAATACAGGCTGCTGTGAGGCCACAGTGGATACATACATACACACATTCACAAGGTGTGAACGCTGTTGCCCAGTGCCATCCAACAGAAAGGCAGCTCATAAAAATGGGACACTGGGCCCTCGTCCACCTTAACCATCAGATCTGGCACAGGGTGACCCCTGGCTCCTCCACAGACTCAAAGTGACCATGAGAGACCATGAAAGGTTTGAATCAGTTCAGGATATCGAGGTACCCAGGGCTGCACACA